GATGATTCGGTACAAAGACCAAAGCATTTTATGAGCGCGCATTTGGGTTATATGAGCAATATGAAAATGGTGTCTTCGACTTTGGGCAGTTTACTAGACTTTGTTGTGACTGCATATACCGTGAGGTATTCTACTGAGTAAAGGGTAACAAGATGCGTTGACTATTACAAAACGATCCTTGTACTAGTTCGATTTTATGTATGTTATCATTCAAACCTAGCATGGTCGGAAATATATTCCCTCGCCCTCAATACTGTATAAATTACTCCAAAACGCCCCAGCCTATATAACGTTAAAATCAATCCCACCTGAATCCGACACACCATCTGTTTGATAAGCACCATCCGGAATTTGCATCTTTGACATCAAGGTCTCACACTTCTTGCAATGTGGTATAACGAGCCTCGACATTTTCCAGGCTGTAGACTTGGACGATGTTCTCGATCACCTTTGCCCCGGCACCCTTCAGATGAGCATTGATCTCACTCGGGTGTGTGATGGCGAAGAGGATCATGACAAAGAACATCGGAACCGAATCAAAAGTGTAAAGGAAGACTTCGTGCGAGATCAAGTACCCGTCGTTGCCCTGGGCGTACTCGATCAGTCTCATGATCGATCGGATCAGAATCAGGCTGGACCCGATGTACAGCGTGACAAGGTGTTTCTCCCAGGAGACGGCACTTTTGGTCGAGGACTGGTTGGACTTGTCGTTACCGGTGGTGGTGGTGGTGGCGGCGCCTCCTGATCCTCGACGCATGTTGAGGTGAAACTTGACTCCAACGAGGACAAAAACGCTGAAGAAGACGATTTGGACAACTAGACCACCCATGATTATCTTGGACCCAGTATTACTGGTACTTTGAGACTTGGAGGAGAGGAGACCGGCACCTAGAAAAGTCGGAAAGAAAAGACAAAAGTCAGCAATCTTCGGCGCGCAGCTAGGAAGAGAAGGTGGGAGGATCAGATCGAGTCGGCCCCTACCTCCAGCTTGCAAAAGGAAAGAGAAGACGTCGCCAGCCACGAAGATCTTTGTCAGGAAGCGCTTCTTGATAAAGGCGTGTCTCTCGCCGTCGGTGAGGGTGATGATGCGGCCGAGAAGCATGTACAAGCTGGCAGCCATCAGGGCCGGTGCGACGAGGATGAGTACAGCTTGTAGGACGAAAGGTCCCAGGGTCCAGTTGGGAGTCTCGTTGGAGCCGATTGCCCTGCCGATGTAGCCCACACTCTCCATGAACCCTCCTATGCAGAAGGGGATGAAGGCGAGTGTACGCGTTCGCACAAGTTGGTACGCGTGGAGAACGGAAATCAAGAAGAAAAGAGCGATGAAGATGATGGCCGCGACGAGCGAGGGTGTATAGTGGTAGAACTCGTACTGGGTGTCGGACATGTTGTGCAGAGGGGATAAAGCAGAGTCAACGGGAATAGGTTCGAAGGAAGAACTGAAGTATTGACTTGTTGGGTTGGATGTGAAATATGAAGATTCGTCAATCGGGATGTGTTTGGCTCTGGAAATGAGGGATCGCAAAGGCTCAATGAGATGAAGATAGTTCGTAAGATGTTGGATGAAGATGGATGATGAACAATGAACAGCAGGGGACGAAGCAGGGATATATATAATGCTTTCTTTGACATGTACTCCTGAAGAGATAGGTATACCGCATACGCTCTCACAGAGTTATGGGGAGGCGTGAGCGCTAGTTCTCCTGGTACGTGGCTAGCGTGAAAGGTACCCAGGAACCTACCTAGGTATTTCAAACAGGAAAACCCGATAGCGACAGCATGTTGGCTTCGGGCTGTGCCCGTGCAGTATTCGATCAGTAGGCATAACGCCCAAACGCTTCCATCCTGGCTTGGAACACCACCTCACACGAGGATACGAAGTGCCTGTATCGGAAATTCGGTTTCGGTTTCGGTAGGCATAAAGCCAATGATGATATTCCGTGAGGGTAACTCCGTATTCGGGTGTGTTAGAGATTGGCGCGAGGCTGTGCCTTCAACGTTGTAGATTTGAAAATTGATATGGACCTTCAGCCTTCTGAGCCTCAAATAGAGGGCACTAAAATTGTAAACTTTCCCTTGATGGGACTAGCGTACTGCATTGAGCGTATTCGGCAGACATACTGGAAACGGCACCATATTTTCCAAAATTCACGCCGATAAACAATTCAAGGCGTTGTGAACGAGCATCCACATAAGGCCTCCCACAAGACGATCCCGAGTCTGCCTCACTCCAGTACTTCAATGCCATCGAGTCTTGGCCATCAGTTCTCGTACTCGTATCCAGCGAACCTTCTTGGCTGTAGGTGCCCTGTACGAAGTGACCACCGAGTCGAACTTGCTTGCGGTTTGTATCCAGTCAATTTCCGCAGTGAAGGATCAATCCAGCACGAGGAAATCGGGAAATGTTGCAACACAATGCCACACCAAGTCTTTGGGGCAAAGTCTGGTTCAGCCAGTTGCTGGTTGCCGGACTTTGATGGCCCATCCTCAGATCTTGGTCGCCAGCCTTGCGATAAGGTATGTAAGGGATGTATTGCAAGCCTATGACGTTCGATGGCAGCACAAGCTCCGTCATAGCTGAAGTGCCAACAAGCAGGTCTGCTCACCTGTCAATCGGACATACTACCTCAGGCAATTGACAGCCTCTTTTACAAGGGTTCACCCCAGGCTTCAAAGCTATGCGCTCGATTCGATTCGTCCGATCTTGCTGTCCCTCGTTTGCTAGTAGGTGTCTCTCAGTCGATACCTTGCACAATCTGTGCGATGAAGTAGGTATTCCTTTGCCTGGAATGTTTGTGAAGGGTTCTCAATATAAGATGAAGTTACCTTACCTAGGTTGTCTCTGTGCTTGTGTCCGTTCCCAATTGATCCTTGCCCCAGACCTCTGCTTCAGGTCAGTTACTGAATGGAAAGATGCCACACCACCTCAGACTACTGTTTTGCTGCAGTCTGGTATTGTTACTATTGCTGTCTTGCCCTGTGAAGGCAGCAGAGAAGGAAAGGAAATGGCTACTCCCTCGGACAAATGTTACAGGGCCAAATGCGAACGACTATGAATGCGAAAGTGCACGGGCTCCAGACTACTATGGAATCGGCGTCCGACTGGTAAGTTACTAGTGTTGTCAGAGCAGTTCTGAAAGGCATCATGAGCGTCTCGTGGTGAGGCTCGTTTCCTGACTTTTCCATTAGGGCATCTACTTTTCGTGGTTCACTGGATGGGTGGTAAGAACCGTGTTCAAAGTCTCATCTCTGTCCATCTAACCATTTTGCAAGGCGAACGCATATGTCCCCGGAGACATTGGTGGCGCATTAGACACGAATGCTATATTCCTTTTTGCCAACCTTGTCGCTATGGTCCGTTGCACCATCACCAAGGTCTTGACACAGCTTGACTGCGTGATCCTGATGCACCTTTCTGGTGGCACAGTCTTCTCCGTGCTCAGTCTGTGGGGTTATCGAACATGCCACTTCAAAGAAGAGGGTCCGAAAGGTATCCGACATTTTGGAGGTTTCGGCACGCACCTGCGACTTTTGCTGGCAATGTCAGTATCGGTGTTCGGCTTGTGGTTTTGGTTGATAGGTATCAAACCACATACCACAGATATTTTGACTGATACAGGCCCTTGTGCCACTGTTTACACCTTCATGTTTGCTAAAGTGAAAGCGGATGGAGGTGTAAGGATCTTTTACATCATCGTCTGCATCTGTTGTACCATTTACTTCGGAACCATGCTCCTCGTGTCATCGGTCTCACTGTATGCACGAGTCGCAAAGGGTGTCATTTTGGCAAAGCGGAGTAAATGGCGGACGTCAACTCGATTGCATTACGCTACGGGCTTGTACACCAAGGAGTACGTATCTGAACACAAATTTCCATGTAGGCTTTGCTTACAGTTGATCAGGCTTCGTCGCATATTCTACGCCTTACGAGTTGCAAACTTCATCTGGATTGTTTGGAGCGTGATCATGATCGAGTGCACCCTCAACTTCAACCATGTCAAGGGCGTACTCGGTCCTGGAAACCGCATTTTCTTTCCGTCACAACTTATTCCCATGATCATTGGAGCATTTTCATTCGTAAGACTTTGTTACAAGTTGTTGGAGAAGTGGCGAGATCCTGATGATGAGCCCTCACTACCGACGGACGTGCATACGTCTATTCTCACCAGTTCACAAAGCTCTGAGACACCACAGCAGTTCCGAAAAAAGACGAGACTGTTCAAACTCCTTGCTCCACCCACGGATACCCTTGTCCGTGGCCCTAAAGAAGCAACGCCTGAAGACAACGACATCGATGATCTCATGAGAAATGCACCCACTAGTTTGAGATACCTGGTCTCGTGGTTGCCGTGGCTGTCGTTGCTGCATTGGTGGAAGAACGATGGAGACAGGTTGAACTTCCACAAGAGCTGGACAAACCAGGAGAAGCGCCGCTCATGTTCCCCGGCCGCCACTTTGCAAGGGACGCCAACATCCGCTACCTTTGCGAATCCATACAAAGCATCGCTACCAGAGTGATTGGCAACCCTCGTAACGACAACACTATCTTTTACCAAAATCCAACCGTCACAGATACAAATGATTGTTCTAGGAACATCATGTCGCCCAGATGTTGATGCGAGATGGCGATGGCGTGAAGCACGATTAGCATTGACAATGCTGCTATGCCTAATCTCTGATCACAAGTGAGGCTGCAATATTTCTCCTGGATCAAATTTCAACAGGTCCACGAATAATTGCATGATATGGACACAAGAGGCATGCTCTTTCGCAGGTGTGAGTGGATTTCGAGCCAAGCACCTATTCATGTGTTATCCATAGCTATGTACTGTAATAACTTAGGACCATGCTTTCCCTGGGGACTGTATGACTGCAATATGCAGCATCATAAGTAGTACTTCAGAATAGCAAAAAAGGATTTCGCAGTTCTACAGGATACTGGCAAAACAAAAAAGAGAGTTGAGTTGACCTATCCCACAAACAAAAAAAGTGAGTTGAGTTGATTCATCTCGGGATCGAACCGAGGACCTCGTCGGATGTGTGCTCACTGCATGTGAACGACGCGTGATAACCACTACACCAATGAATCCTAGGTCTCGTAAAATAATGAATTATTTTGAGACGATTTCAAAGCCTAAATCTGGCTTATTGAATACTTAACTAAACCCATTTTTATTATGGGTCGACATCTATTTTGTGCCGGCACGCCAAGCTTTATTGGAGGTCTGCTCTGTGCGGAACTCATTCCCAAGGCTGCCCCTTAGCAGAACAAAAGGCCCGGCCTTACACCACAGCGCTGTGTCACCTGCTCGAATTATTTGCTTAATCGAAACACGTAAAACCACTTGAACATGGCGATGGATACATCGAAAATTGAAACTCCAGGCAAATGTACGGCCGACTTCTGTCTGATACCTATAGGGACTCCGACCGCATCCGTGTCGGAGCAGATAGCAGATGTTCAACGATTGATGAAGAAAAGCGGTTTGAAATATTCTATGCACTCGGCGGGAACTACTGTTGGTAAGAACAATCTCTTTCACCTATATCATTAAATACGGTCTGTTGCGAGGGTCATCGGAAAGAAATGCTCAGGGAGTTTGTTGAGGCTCCATCATCTACTACGTCATTCTATCTGGAGATGAAGTGAACTTCACTGCAAGCCCGGCAATAGCAGGACTCTGGACATATTGGTATTCCAATATATAAGCTAACGATTGTTTTCTGTACAGAAGGATCTTGGGACGATGTGACACGGCTAATTGGCCAAGCTCATACCATACTACACGACAAGGGAATCGTGCGGATCCAAACAGATATTCGCATTGGGAGTCGAACAGACAAGGCACAAACGATGGAAGACAAGGTCGCGGCCGTGGAGAAGCTGCTTGCGAGCGAGTCATAATAGGATCCTCGATTGCCCTTCTAACCTAACATGCCCTGTTGAGCACCACGATTCAAAGAGGATCAAATGCTCCGGAGCAATGTTATGAGTATCTAGTGTTTCGTGGGCTCTGGCGGTCTAGGGATTCTCATCGAATAGGCATCTGGCTTGTATGAATGAACTGAAATAGTCGAGCCACGTAATTTATCAACCATCAACCAACTCACAATTTCGCAAAACTCAGGCTCTATCATAGTTTAAGGTCTGCGTACTTGTAGATCAACCTCGATACTCTGATGCTGTTGATCGATAAGTTTATGGCGCCACACTAATCTTGAAAAGATTGTTGAAATGCTGCGCCTCATGTGGCTGGAAGACGCGTGGCTGAGCACGAGGTTGACGTCTCCAGCGGGAGAAGTCTCTCACCATTCAATCGGCACCACGCAGCCCAACTCGTAACAATGCTCTTTCTATTGGAGACAATGCCCCTGGCTGTTGCCGCCCTGCTTTGGCGAGCCCTTGGGCATTGAAACAATAAGGTCTCACTGAGATATCTTCATGATTTCTTTGACTATCATCGAAGATAGTGTCTTTGTTGACCGCCGCATTACCAGCCATGCTATTTTGGTGACCACCAACTGACGCTAAATGAACAATCACTTCTACAGAGTAACAGGACTCACACTTCGTCCAAATTCAATTCCGAGTGTCTGAATCCAGTCAGAATCGATTACCCAACGGACGACCTATTGTCAATATCTGAGTAACAAGACCATCTAAATACCTTCATACTCCTAGCCTACCATGGCAGCGATCCACCAGACCATAGCGATCGTGGACAAGTCGAACAAAGTTGTCAGTACGACAAAACAATTGAAGAACGTGTTCAAAGAGGCGAAACTAGCCTATCTTGAACGGAAAGCCGAAATTGTGGCAGACCGTAGAGCCAGGGAAGACAGAGAATTGAGAAAGGCTCTAAAGGCGGTGACTTTGGCTGAGGAGGAGGAGAGATCAGAAACATCCCACAGGTCAAGGAGAAAGCATAGTCACAAGAAAGAGCACGATGCAGAGCGACGTCGGCCATCAGTACGAGAACACCATCACTCCTCGGGATCGACAAGACGGAAGGGCCATGCAGAGAACGGTCTTCCGCCCATTGAGCATGCGGCCCCGGTCGAGACCTACCCCGCCCCGGTTGGTCTCGCTCAGTTCAACGAGGAGCTCTATGGTCAACATCGTTCCGCTCCGATTTCTCCTGTATACCCTCCCGAAGGACATGGGCTTCTACGTCGGACAACCGATCTTCCATTCGAGCATCCTCGTTCCCATCGTCCTCCCCCCGTGAGGTCACATTCCACTTCCGAAGTTGATGATCACATTGACATGGACCTGGCGTATGGCGAGTTTCATCCAGAGTCACTCATGTTAGACCCAAAGGTCGAACAGACGCTACAAAAACAAGAAATGTCCAGTCTGGTCACAAAATGCAAGATTTTGCTCGACGAAGCCAATTGCGCCCAACACAGTGTCAGAGCAATTGTGACTCATCTCCAGAAGAATCCCGATGCTATGGCAGCCGTTGCATTGACACTGGCCGAGATCAGTAATCTAGCCACGAAGATGGCCCCAGGAGCTCTGGCAGCCTTCAAGACCGGTGCCCCAACCGTGTTTGCTATGCTCGCTGCCCCCGAATTCCTCATCGCGGTAGGCGTAGGTGTGGGCATCACCATTGTGATGTTCGGTGGCTACAAGATCATCAAAAAGATCCGAGCAAAGGTTAGTGACAAGGAGGAGGTCGCGGATGAAATGATCGATGTCCATGAACTTGATCGGATCGAGCACTGGCGACGTGGTATCGCAGATGCCGAAACTGCCAGTGTTGCTACCAGTGTTGAGGGCGAATTCATTACACCTTTGGCAGCTCGCTCAATGGGACATCTGCCGATGCCCAGGGATCCGAGCCGTGATCGCCAGAGCGAGAAGCCTCGAGATGAAAGGCGGAAGAAGAAACATCGACATATTGATGATGACCCGGATCGAACGGTGGTCGGGAGTGAAAGCTCCAAATCGCGGAAAAGCAAATCGGACAGGCGAGAAAGAAGTCTTGTCAAAGTCAAAAAGCCAAGTCCATTGCGTCGAATATTCAGCAGCAAAGATACGGACACTTCGTCGAGGAGGTGATGGTGGAATTTGGAGTTCATGGTTACCCCTTTCATAACGAACTAGATGAGTACACTTTCTCATATTGGAGCATGGCGTTACGGTACATATGGGACATATTTAATTACAAGTATATGATGCATGATATAATGAGATACGAAACTCTATGGTCCACGGACAGGGGCCTCTTTAAGCCATCCTCCCCGTGTCTAGTATTGATTCTCATCAATATCAGCCGTGGCGGACGGCGCGCCGGGATTCCGACTTATCACGTGACCTGCGGCGAAATTTCGTCGTCGATCGACCTGAGAAACATTCATCCTCGCTTCGATTTGTCGTATTTCTATTTTACTTAGACTCGATCCACGCAACGACTGCATGTGAGCGCTGCTGTTTCTTCCTGCAGCGCCGAACGACTTGAGCCCTGCAATCCGATCCTCCTGCCGTCACAGTAGAAGGAAAACCTTGATCCTCCAACCTCTGTCGCTGCTTGGGAAATACCGTGCGCAGTGCTTATACCATTGCTCAACGATTCCAGAGTCCATCAGGGCCTCTTTCTAATCAGATTTTATCATAATGGATCACTCACGAGATCCATGCCCGTGGGTAGCGCTGTCCGACTTTGGAGGTGCCTTTTCAATGGGTGCTCTGGGAGGTATGCCAGCCGACGCATGAATGCAACGGCAATTGACTGACCAGCTTGTAGGAACATTGTGGCACGGTATTAAAGGCTTCAGAAATTCTCCATATGGCGAACGACGGATAGGCATGATCACCGCCGTCAAAGCTCGAGCACCAGTCACTGGCGGCAACTTCGGCGTATGGGGTGGCTTGTTCAGCACATTCGATTGCGCAGTAAAAGGCATCAGAAAGAAGGAGGATCCCTACAATTCAATCATTGCCGGCTTCTTCACCGGTGGTGCTCTTGCGATAAGAGGAGGCTACAAAGCAGCCCGAAATGGAGCCATCATGTGTGCAATCTTCCTGGCGGTCATTGAGGGCGTGGGCATTGGTATCCAGAGATTAATGGCAGAAAATACGAGACTCGATGTAAGTTCATCGGTGCAGAGCGAGATATGAGCACAGCTAACACGATGCAGCTTCCTCCTCCTGGCACACCACCTTCAGAATCTCCTCGTGTGGCCGCATGACTTGAGATGGCCACCACTCCACACTTTATCTAAGATCTCCGTCGTTGGATTCGACGCGCCTAACGACCCAACTTTAGCGGTTTCTCTACTCTCCAAAGTCTCACCTTTCTCTGGTCAATGGGGTCTTTGTGCATAGCGGGCGTATGGACATAAAGGTTTTATTCTGTGGCGAGAGTCGACTCTGGCCGACGAAGTGCCGTGATGTCGATGTGAATACAAAACGGCAGAGAGCAATGCATACTGTCGCATTGTGATCCTGGTGGAGGCCCAGGCGAATGAGACTTTCATTTGCAATCCGGGTTGTATTATATGTATGATGATAGAAGAGTGTCAATCTTACACCGACTAATATCGAACTCCAAAATACTGTAAACGTCTTCAAGCGCCCAGAACAAGACTGAGTTTTCACGAATGCCAAAAGAGTGACCAGAACTGCCTTAGTTAATCAGCTTGAATTACACCGTAGGAGAATCTCTCCATGCCACAGGTCTGAGAATTTGCTAATTTAGGCATATTATCCTCTTGCTGCGTAACAAGAATGTGCATATTGGTAGCGCGGGTGGCTCCTAGATTGCAACAAGTGTCAAACGAGTGTTGGAATTCAATCTAAGCCACGGAAGAGAAAAGTATAGAAGTGAAGTATTGAGCGTGAGAGATCTCGGCCGGGCAGCCTTATGAGGTCACAAGGCTGTGTGCCATGTATGCGATAATCCTCCGCAGTCGCCAAACGACCATCGACTCAACTCGCACCCTCCTTCGATCTCGCATTGCCATCTTTTGCCTGTATTGCGTTTCTAGGTTCTATTCTTGTTACGGTATCGATCTCGTCACACATTAGCGTTGAATTCTCGCTGTCATGCACTATGGGAAGCATGCATCTCGGAGCGCAGCCTT